TTGAGTAACCAGGTGACGATTTCTGGAAAGTGCCATCTAGTTCCATTATATTCTAGAGAAGGCAGATATCTCCAACAATCAGCAACTCACGGCAAAACAATTAATAAATAGCACTACAGGTGAGAGAAAAAAAAAGTTTTTTAATTATTCTTTTGGATGAACTGTCCCTTTAATTTAACCTCACTTAATTAATCTCACTGAGCCCGGTGTGTGCGACACATTACCATGTGTGCTTCTAGCTGAGACGTCTGCTCTCATGTGCAGACACCAAGTTTTCACGCAGCATCCTCAACAATTACACCATACTGCGTAATTACCAGTCTACACCATAGGGAGCACAATAAAGGCAGCAGAGACACCCCTCGCCCTGTTTCATTGGGATTAAGACGCACACATATGCATGTGCAAGCATGCACACACACACTCATATACACAAACACAGACACAGACATATACCGTCCTGCAGGCCAAGTTATTTTCCAGAAATGTGTTTAAAAGCCATCTAATTGGTGGGAATGCTGAGTCAAAACTTTTTTTAATCTACCGAGGGACGCTGCAGGACAAGATGGGGATGTAGGCTAGAAATACAAAGAGCCACACACACACATAAAAATGTTATTTTGTTGTCCCCCCCCCCCCCCCCCCCCCCCCCCCCCCCCCCCCCCCCCCCCCCCCCCCCCCCCCCCCCACACACACACACACACACACACACATTCACTTGAGGTTTTGGTGGTATTTTCTCATTTTTCTCAACATTAATCTCCCAGTTTTTTTTCTTTTATGTCCCTTTATCTGTTCTTTCATTCTGCAGCTTGATCCATTTGTGGTCTGAGATAAAGCGATGTTTTCCTTTGGGCTTTTTTTGTTCAGCCTGTATTTTTATTTGAGTTCCAGCTCTTTTTCCCACCTTGCAGTCAGTTTTGTGCTATAATGTACCACACTGGAGGTAGAGTATAACAATGCAGCTTTGTGGAAAAAAAGCTCAGAATATATTAAGGGCCACACATCAAAATCCAATTTCCCCTGGCTCCTGTGCTCCCAACTCTTATTCCCATTCATATAAACCCTTCTGGCCCATTTTGCCCTTAGGTTTCCATTTAAAGTTCTGTCTGACCTCTGTTGCTGATTTAAGCAAGGCTCATATATTTTAAGGTATCTCATCTTACATTCATAGCAGAGCTTCCTGGACTTCTGTATTGTTGTCTGAGTTATTGCTCCAGGTAGATCTAGTAATTCTGGCTCTTATTTTATTCCATGTTGGATACCATTTAAGCTAGGTCATAAAGGAAGTAGATTTTTCTTTATACTTGTGTATGCAAACTGTCATCTGCTAGGTTATTAGATACAGGGTTTTATTGTTGAGAATAAACCTCTCTCACACACACACAGGGAGAGACACACACAGCTACAGTACCCACTGTTCACAGGCCTCTGTGTGGCTTGTTAGCAGCCATAAATCAGTCTGTTTTTGCTCCGGTTCGGTCTTTGCAGCAGCCGATGACCTCACCATGTACACCTCGTCTACTCATCCTTACGAGTCTTGAAGGAGCCGAGCCCTCATAAACGCTGCCAGATGCAGAGATATCACTGCACACACACAAGTATAGATCCAGAGACATGGACACGAATAGCAAGGAGAACTCGCTGGGACATTTGGGCTCATTCCAATTCTCACACTCTCATGCCTGACATGACAAACACAGCGTGATGCTTTTAATAGAGTGGTGAAACTGCAACCTGTCCTATGTAGGATTCATTATTACATCCTAACTCTTCACACCCTTCTCAACTTCAGACAGTCATGCTGAAATTATTGCTGTCCGATTGGTCCCAGTCATTTGTTCCACCCCCCGTCTCAGCGACCTGCTGCTGATTCCGCGAGAGGCCCTCGATCAAGAAGACATCAGGAGCCTCAAAAGCTTTTTGCTGTACTTTTTATAACTCTCTTTAATACAGACTAACCACTTAGGTTTTTGAAGAGAGTTTATAGCCATAGCCATCCCATTACAAGACTGAATCACACAAACTATTAATGAGAGCAGCTCCAAAGTATCTTTCCCCCCTTCCTGCTTCTCCTCTTCCCTCCATCCTTCCGCGCCCACTGTCCATCCATCAAAGCAGGCAGCGACGACACTGTGGTAGGTTTTCACAACAGGACCTCAGCCCCGATTGCACCCATGGGGCTGGTAAAGCAGGGAGATGAAGAGAAAACCCCAATTTATGGAAGCCATCCAAGGCCAGAGATGACGATTGCTAATGATGGTTTCCAGTCTGCAGAACCACCAGTACTGTGAGGGGTTGAGCAAGCCTCGACTCCAGGGACCCTGTAAAAACTGTTAGCTTAACTTCGAGTACAGCCATTAAGGAGGAAGTCAACATTAGCCTTTACCACATACATCACATTTAAGTGTTTTTGGAAAGTTTGATCCAACTGTTCCTTTATGTTTAAATAGGGATCTAAAGGTTTGTGCCTTTGAACTGTGAGTGTTGCTTTGCAGAGGAGGTTCAATCACTGCTCAACTGTTTTTATTGAGGTAAACAAAGCGGACAACTCCAGCTGCTGTTTCAGCACTTGGGTGAGGTTGGATAGGGACTTTAAAGGTACTCCACAGCCTGCTGGATTATCTCATCACCACAAACACACAGAGACACTGTAGATGTGGGGTTGTGTGGAGGATTAAAAGCTGGACCAAATACAGAGCCTATCATGTTGGACGCCACACTCTAAATCTGAGAATAATTATAAACTACCTGGAGACATCTCAATATTTGAGCCTTACGAACACACATAGTGAAATGGGGCAGGATATACGCAGAACATTTGTAGCAAAAGATCTGGCTTTTCCTACTTTTTCTATTCAATAACCGCAGCTGTTTCTCTCGGTCGTTAACATGCACGCTTTTGACTGTCCTCCCTCGAAACGTTTGTCTTGCCAAATCCACTTAACTTTTTTTCCTAAGCTGAGATCATTTATATTGTTCCCTGAGAGATACAGAGACAAGACTCAAATATTATTATAAAATGAATAAATAACAGCCGGTTTATGATATTTTGGAGGGGGGAGATAGTTTTCTCAGTGGATTTATGACAAATAGTGCTTAATCATGTTCTTCATTCACAGCAGACGTTTTTAAAGCCACTCGTTAAAGGAGGAGTTTAACATTTTTGGAGCTATGCTTATTGGCTTTCTTGCCCAGAGTTAGACGAGATGGTCAGTTTCTGTATACTCAGTATGAATTTAGAGACAGGGGAATCTTAGTTTAGTTTACATAAAGACTGGAAATGAGGAAGCAGATATGCCAGCTCTGTCTGAAGCAGTGATGTTCGATTCGTGAACTAATTCTTCTTTTTGAACGACTCTAGAAAAGGGATGAGTTTCTGTGAAATCCTGCTTCTGTGTGGTGCATGTGCAGTTGTGCCTAATGCCGGGTACACACTACAGGATATCAGTCTGATTATAGCCCGACGCAGCGTCATACGGTGATCGTTTTATCTTGTGTAATAAGTCATAGTAGACGACAACTGATGCCACGTCTGGGACGCCTCATGATACCCAACAGAAAGTCTAGAATGTTTGATTTTCTTTTTGTCGTTTATCACAGCTGTCACTTTGACCAATAGGAACACACAGTTAGCTGCTGTAGACAACTGTGCGGCAACAACACCCCAGGGTTTTTGATATTTCCTCTAGGGATGTTACCACGACAGACAAACAGCAGAGGCACTTCAGCAACCTGCTGAGTACTGCCATTACTGTTATTTTTTCACAATGGAGGATATAAAGGAATAGAAATTAAAAACAGTGACGGGGCTTTTACTCTCCACAACTGCAGAGGCTACCAGCTTCATTTGAAACAGACTACATTATAGATGGGACGTTATTTATTAATCCCTCTGTATTCTTCTATTTTTACTGTTAATCTGTTAATGCATTGCGCAGTAATTTTAAACTCAACACTTCCTGTACCCATTTAAAATTAAAAGCCCTTTATAATTGTGTTAGAGGGAATCCCTTCATTTTCTAAATAGGCTTTTGTTGTGAAACATTTGCAGGAACTTCTGGAAGATTCAGTGACTTGCATAGTTTTCATGCAGTACTTCAAATGTAGCTCCTGCCATCTGGTGGCACTTTTACGTTACTACAATAACATTTCGGCTGGCACAACAAATCTGACAGAAATGTCGTGTAGTGTGAACCCAGCATAAGAGTGAGGTCAACTTCTGAAAGCCACTGCTCCAGACTCTCGTTCGGCGCAACTCTCCTTCAAACTTTAGTTCAGGGGGTAGGTGAACCAAAAGAGTCACCCATTAGCCGGTTAGCTAGTAGCAGGTGAATGACACGAACTGGGTTTCACTAGTCTGAAGGTAAAAAAAAATTGTCTACCACCTCTGAAGTTCACAAATAACACATTTTATCTTTATTTCTTTAGTCTGTAAAAAAACAAACAAACTGAGGCATAAAAAGGAAATGTGTCAAACTCTTACTTTGACAGTCACAGAGATTAGCTAAGCTAACCTTTCGCAATGTCGGAACCCATCAGCTTTGGGTCTGACGATGATGATGGCTAGGGCCAATATTTCGGGCTGATCTGTAACTTCCTCATTTGTGCACCGCTGGTTTTGTCTAATCTCTATAAACAGATATTTGCATATACATTCTAATAAATTTAAGAAAAGCTAATATAAAGCTAAGTCACCGTCAGACAATAGCCAGTGGGTTCAGAGGTTGCATTTCGGCCAGTGCGCTCCACCTCTCCATACAGACTGCAATTACCTGCAATTCAAACATGATTGGTGAATCTGGAAATCAGAACACTTCAAATACCAAAATCATGTCCCATCACCTGTAGAGAATAACGGTTGGCTAGCTGATCATCTCCTCATCTAACTCATGGCAAGAAAGTGAATAATCGTGTTTCCCAAGATGGCAAACTATTTATTTTTCTCTGTCACTATCTTGTTGTCTTTTCATAATGTCTTTTTATCTGTCCTCTGACAGGGTCCTCTTGGCCTGGATGGGAAACCTGTGAGTATTCCCAGAATCAAATGTGTAAAACATGCTACACATGACTGACAGTAGTTTAGTTTTACCTCTGTTTCTTTCTCCTTCCAGGGTTTTCCAGGTCCCAAGGGAAGCCAGGTACACCATGACACACCTGTCTTGTTTTAGTTTTCTAATAACACATATCAATTACACTGAAGCAATTCATTCTCAAAGATTTTCTGCGAATCCAGGTGGGGATTTGTTCTGTAAGACAGGTGATGCTCTGCTAAACGTTATCAATCATCTTTACTGTTCCTAGGGGAATGTTGCAACTGAGTGAAAAAGCCCACGGTAGCCGTCTTGTTTCTTGTTCCCCCTCTTAAGTCATCCCAGGGCTCACAGCCACAGGGGACTCGTGGCTCAACTGAACCGAGCGCTGAAATCCCCTTTTGCACTTCACCTCTGCATCCCATCCATCACCCTTTCTCTGAAACCCAGCTGTACCCCCAGACACACCCAGGTGTAGCGTGGAAACGGGCGAAGCGGAGCGAATGGGTTACACACCAGTGGGAAAAGTGAGAGAGAGAATAGAGTTTATAACCTCCACAGAGGCTCTTTAGAAAGTCATTATAGTATCCTCTCGACTCCCCCTGTCTGGTCACTTTACCCACAAGTAGGACAAGTCTTCTGCTGAAATTTAAACCCCTCACAGCATAATGAGAGCTGTTTGAATAGCTCCTCTCCAAACACCATTAAGCTGTTGTTTCCTGCAAAAGGAGACCTCAAGCTGGGTCTGTCCTTTAAGAGGACTCTCCCCATCGCAGAGGGTCTGTCGTAAAACCCCAGCAGGTGTGACACAGACCTCGTGACCAGAGTCGTCTAAGTACTCAAGGGATGGTGGGAGGAGATGAAAACGAAAATAAGGGATAAAAGCAGTTTGATTTGTTGATGGATGACGGCCAGGGGAGAAACAAGACAGAGGGTTAGCAAACGGGAATAAATCAAGTTTAAAGCCACACTGACAAGAGAAAGTTGAGTTCAAGGACCATAAACTAAAAAAGCAGATAAGGAGTGAACAAAAACAATTGTTTTGACAAAGGAATTGGAGCTTTCAGATATGTTTTGTGACCTTCATCAGTGAATGGGGTTCACTCAGCTTAACGGATACTGTTAAGTTGAGAAGCTCTGCAGAACTTCCAGTAAATAGACGTTTTGGCCTTCTAAAATTACTTAAAATTAGGGCGTCTGTGGCTTAGTGGAAAGAGCAGGCGCCCCATGTACAAGGCTGTTGCCATTTCAATTTCGCTGGCAAGCATCTTTACATATCATGACCGACAATTCCCCATTAAGGTAGAAAAATGATCTAAATAAAATCAGTTGTATGATGTCCACACTGAGTAAAATATCGGCCGGTGAGTGTAGATTCACAATGCATCACTAGGAACCTCAACAAGAATTTAAAGTACAGATAGCCTGATTTGAACATGTATGAGTTTGTACCTGACTCTCCAGCCAGGGGAACCAGGGGATAAAAGAGGCCGAACTGAAATTGCAAACCCCCGGTGATAATGAAACACCTACAGTAGCAGTAGTGGCTGTGTTTTCACTTCCTCCTCCTCCGTCTCCTCTCTCCCTGAACAGAAGGAGAGAGCAGAGCAGGAGATAAGCTGCTGCCTGTCATCATGTGGCCACTCACATTAACAAACTGCACCAGCCCCCTTCCCTCTCCAGTTCTGTACTCCTAAACACTCCAATCCAGACAAAATGTCTGCCAGACAGAGAAGACGTGAGGAAAGGGGGAACAAATCAGAGAGGGAGGCTTCACGGCAGATCGCATGGCAGATTTAGAGATTGAATGAAGGCAGAATAAGGGAACGAGTGTGTGAAACACAGTATGGGATGAGTCAACAAGATTAGACAGTTTACAGATCAGTGGCATGAAAAGGGTGATTGAGCTTTAAGAGGTATAAGCTCTGCTCACTGGAGTCACTTTTAGAGAGATGGTTGCTGAGATCAGAGACAGTTGGTGGCAGCTTTCCATGTCATCCTCTCTGTCGGTCTGCGGTCTGTGGTGTCACCACACTTAAAGTCCTTGTGACACTTAGACAGACACACGAAGAGATGGACGAGGGCACAGCACAGCCCAACTGGCAGGGATCAGCTCATCTGTGGGCCTGGTGTTCATGAGACGATGTCAAACTGCCCGACACACAGTGTCATTGTGTGTCAGCATCTCACAAACTACACACGAGTGCCTAGGCCTTTTGTTAGACCCTGTGTTTTTAGTTAGCGTTTCTAGCATTCCACGTGTAAAACATCTTCCCCATCTGAGAGAAAGGCTGAACAAAGAAACATGTTGCCCTCTCAGTTTTATCTCTCAGCAAAACAGTTTTTATCTCACAAATCTTAAAAGGGATTCCAGCTGAAAGCTCGTGTCACGTGGTCCTCTTGTTGTGAAATATGCTCAGACTGAAGTGACTTGTTGTGATTGAGCGCTCTCGTGGCACGGCTGCATTAAGTGGTATTACTGCCTTGCCTTACCATTTGATTGAATGCTCCCTGCTAGCAGCCAGGAGAAGATGTACTGCACTATGATGTATGCTGCTCATATGATAACTGATTTATCTTATCCAACTGTCTCCGTTTATCCCTCCTACAGGGACCAGCTGGACCCAAGGGAGAAAAGGTATGCTTCAATATGGATTTCAACAACCCTGCCAGACAAGTCAATGCACAGTGTGGATGGATTTCTCACATTAATTTACAGGCGGACAGCTTCCGAAAGACTCAAACACTGGCACACACACTTGCACACAACCCTCACAGGTGTTCTCTTGCATCGCCCTCCCACGTTCACGGTTTCACTGCGTACCCATCAAACGAGCCATAGATTACATGTAGTTATGTAGGAGCTCGTATGTCTCCGCACATTCTCACGTCAAGGCACTAAACAGGTTTACAGGCCTTCCGTGGGGCTCGATGATAGCCAGATGTTTTCCCGCTCTGTGAACCTCTGCCCAGCCGGTGATGTGAGCTTTGCAAGAGCTGGCAGAGAAGGGCTGGTGCACGTGGTCATTTGTGCATACGCGCTGACGGATAGCTTTGTGTGTGTATGCTTTTGCACTCAAGCGAAAATTGTCCAGATAAGCGCAACCACAGGAACAACTGCAGTAAACAGCATCTGTCAGGGCAGCATTCAGGCTGATGGGCGGAGGATTGCAAATGACGGATGATGCTGGGGTTTGGAAAATTGGCTGCCTTCATGTAATCATGCCAGTAGCTCTGTGATGAGAACATGGACTCCAAATCCTCATCAGAGAACCAACAATCCCCAGCACGTGTGCACCCACTTCTACTTCCATCTCGTCCCGTCAGATGATTCCAATTGTGGCCTATCAAATGATTTATGCAGTAAATGTCGACTTCCTGAGATGGTCTGGGAACAGATGACCTTTGAGTGGCTTCCTTCCCGTACACAAGTTTAAGTGTTTAAGCCTGTACGTCACAGCTGTTCTACAGTAGCAGTGTTCTGTTGCATGCCTCGTCCTGTGTGCATATACAGTGGTAATAACTGCTGACAATTGTTATTTTCCTGTTTTTCTCCCAGGGTGACCAAGGAGACATTGGGCCAAGGGTAAGTCATGTTTGCTGTTTTTGCCCGAGAAAGTGAAACTGTTTTATGTGCCTTTTAGATGCTGTTTTTCAGGTACAGCTGACCTGGCTGAAAAGACCTTTCCTATGACTGTGTTTTGTTTCTCAGCAGATTTTTTCTTCTTTCTCTTTTTATTGTCTTCCTCTGTCTCTGTCAGTCTCCTTTTTAAATTTTCACTCCCTTTTAAGGTCAAGAGACTCTGCATTTTCCATTCAGTCATTATAAGAAGTGATTTCTCTTTGAAATTTAAAGAGTTGTGCACAAATCAAGGTATTCCCCTTTGCATTTTATATTAAAAAAAAAACAAAAGTTAAAGGGACAGTGCACCCTAAAGTAAAAATACATATTTGTTCTCTTACCTGTAGTGCTATTTATCAGTCTAGATTGTTTATGTGTGAGTTGCTGAGTGTTGGAGATATCGGCTGTAGAGATGTCTGCCTTCTCTTGAATACTGTATAATGGAACTAGATGGCACTCAGTTTGTGGTGCTCAAATTGCCAAAAAGTACATTTGACAAACTCGCCAGCAGTGTCTCTTTCCAGAAATCATGACCCGGATACTCAAGATAATTCACAAACCTTGTGAGCAGCTTCATGTCGGAACTATTTTTTCTCTACTGAACTACATCTGCCAACCATATCACAGTGCAGGAGGAAGCGTGCCTACATGAAACTGCTCACAACAAGGTCTGTGGATTATCTTAAGTAATTGGGTCATGATTTCTAGAAAGAGACATTGCTGTTGAGTTTTTCACATTTATTTTTTGACGCTTTGAGCACCACAAGCTGAGTGCCATCTAGTTTAGTTATACTAGTCCATACCCATTGGTAGCTTTGTCACCTTCTACCTATGCCAATCCTCAATGCCTATGTGCAGTTTCACATAGATTGACCACGTCAGTGAGTAGAAAAACGTGGGACAGACAGAATGACTGACAGAATGACACACTGACAGTTTCCGTGATTATGTACAGCATACCATACCATGACTTAGTCATACCAAAAATTAGAAGAAAAAAACATTCGGCCACAGGGGGAGCCACAGCGATCGGTCGCATTGTAGCCATTTTTAAGCGTTTTTCTGTTGTTATAGCGCCACCCAGTTGCCAATTAGAGTTAAATTTCTCCAGTCACCTTGAGGCATCCTGTTCTACATATCTACCAAGTTTAGTAAAAATCGATATGGCGGTTAGGCCTAGATAAGAAATTAGCTCTGTAGCTCCCCCATTTTGTTTGATGGGGTCAATAATGGAGGGGTCCCCTCAGATTATGTGTGGTCATATGCCTACAAAGTTGTGTGGTGAAACCCTTGAGATGTTATACACCTTTATGTGATGAGCCACACCCTCTGCAATATTCATTGCCTTATAGAAGCTCAGTTTTAGTAAGTTTTCCAACTTTTGCCAAGAGGGAACTTTAGATATTGGTCCCTAGATTATGTTCACCGAGTTTCATGCAGATCGGTCAAACTTCCTAGGAAGAGATTGATTTTAAGTGTTTTTTAAAATAATTCAAAATGGCGGAAAATCTATATAACCGGAAGTTATGGGTTCTTGAGACAAATTTGTTCCCCATGAGGAGAGGCATCTCTGTGCAAAGTTTCATGTCTCTACGACATACGGGGCATGAGATATGCCCATTCAAAGTTTGCAATTTCAATTGGTTGCTATAGCGCCCCCCTTTGGCCAACTGATGTAATATTGCTTCATTCGCATCCTCCCATGACCCTCTACCACTGTGCCAAATTTCACATGGATTGACCAAGTCAGTGAGGAGAAAACGTGGAACAGACACACACACATACACAGACAGAGTTTTTGTCATTATATATTATATACATAAAAATCTTTACAGCCGATAACTCCAGCACTGGGCAACTCACATCAAAATATCTAGATTAATAAATAAGGTTACAGGTAAGAGGGTGAACTGTCCCTTTAATCAGCAGGTCCTCCAGAAGGTCCTGAAATAACTTATTGAAGTTGTAAACATTTACATCATGCACGACAAAGAGCGGCAGCACGTTAGCATTGTCGCCTCACAGCAAGAGGGTTCCTCGTTCGAACCCATGGTGGGGGAGTTTGCATGTTCTCCCCGTGTCAGTGTGGGTTTTCTCCAGATACTCCGGCTTACTCCCACAGTCCAAAGACATGCTGGTTAGGTTATCTGATGACTCTAAATTGTCAGTAGGTGTGAATGTGAGCGTGAATGGTTGTCTGTCTCTGTGTGTCAGCCCTGTGATAGTCTGGTGACCTGTCCAGGGTGTACCCTGCCTATTGCCCAGTGTCAGCTGGGCAATAGGCCCAACCCCTCTGCAACCCCAACAGGATAACCAGTCAAGGAAATGAATAAATGGACGACTAAAAGCCATTATTTTAAAGGGAAAGTTTGTAATTTTGGGAAATACACATACACATACACTTTTGTGAGATTTGGATGAGGATATCAATACCACATTCATGTCTTTTCAGTAAACATTAAGTTATAGCCAGCAGCACAGTTAGTTAACCTGTGCCCATACATGCATGAATAAAATTACACTTCGATTTCACATCTATGTGCAACTGACTGATCAGTGTCTTTGCACTGCAGGAAATCTGCCCCAACAGCGTTCAGGAGATGGGCTGAGCTTCAAACCCGGACCAGACAGAGTAACAGACCATCACATATTAGAAATCAAAGAGGAAGAGAGGAGGTTTTGTAACATCTGAAACTAAAAACTACTCGTCATTTCCTTGTTATCATGCAAACAGACAAAAGCGAAAACACTAAAAATCAAAAGTTTTGTCACGTTTTGTTCTGCCCACATAACATTCAACACTCGAGGCTTTTAATAATTCAAAAGAAAAGTGTGTTTACTCTGCGCGGCTACCCCAGCAACTGCACCAACAACACAGTCCGGCTCCTGTGATGAGGTTTGAGTTGCCCACATCTCCAAAGCCAGAGATGAGAAATGATGATATTAAAGAACGATGGAAATACTTAAACGTCACCATCAAAAACCCAATGGTTGGGGCGGTGTGCCAAAGCTGCCATCTAGTCTCAACCAAACTCTGTTTTTTTATATGATGGAGTAACCTCGCTCTGCATCTGGTCCATGTTGTGAGTGTTGTCTTTTCATGTGATATCATTCCACCCTCCATGAGATCTATGTAATTATCTCGTGTTTCGTTCGCTGTGGTTTGAAAATAAGCCCCCTGTGCTTTGCATGGTAAGCGGCTTGGACTCTTTGAAGAAGTCATGTACCCCATGAATCCTGAATGTTGTTTTTCTAGCTTGATTATGTAACGAATATAATATCAGGTCAAGAAAACACTTCCTCACATGCAAAAAAACTTGCTACTGAGGTAATTTATACATTGTTTTGGATTTAAACCCAAAGATCCAAATCATGTTATTCTTATGTTGTTGTTTTTTATTTCCCCAAAGATGATAAATTGTTGAAACACAACTGACAACTGAAACGATTAGGGAATTAATTAATAAATAATCTGCTACAGTTGATTAATTGTAATTTTTTTTGAGTTGGTAGAGCTTTCTAAATGTGAATACTTGGACAATTTGTGCCACAAATCCCACAACCTGCGAATTATGCATGTGTTTTTCCCCCTTATGTTGTTGTTTTTGTTGTTGACTGATGATGGATTTGGACTGAAAGGTCTAGTGTGTAGGATTTAAGGCCCAGACACACCAAACCGACTGCAAAGAGCCAGCAGCAATGAAAGCCGACAGTTGGCGTCTCCTCACGTCACCTGTGTCCCAGCCAAAAAGTTGCACATCAGCACACCATGAAGGCTACAGCACATTAACAACTCAATGCAATGTTGAAAGAACAGAGTATATTTACTGTGCGCCAGTGAACAACAACACAAACAATCACAAAATGTGTCTGCTAAAGAGCTCAGTGGCTAAAGAAAATAATCTTACCTTATGTAACAAGTTTGTTTCAATCACACTTCTTCTTGACTTTAGCTGTTTGTTTACTTTCCTCACTTTTGTTTCTCTTCTCGTGCACTGAGCTGAACTGCCAATCAGTGTGATTTCATTTAACAATGGGCTCTGCTTTCACTGATGCTGATTAAACATGCGGAATCAACCCAAAAGAAAGACAGGGCCCAAGAGGCCCAACAAGGGCTGACAAGAGCCAGCAGCGAGGGACACAACACAACGACTCGGGTGGCCGAAGCTCACCGACAGCCCAACATTGACCGATGGCCAACCATCATTATGTCAGAGCTTTTAGTGGCACCAGTTAGGTTCAAACATTGCAACCAACTGAAATTCCTTGAAGAACAAGATAGTGGTGTGCTCGAGGACTGTATTTATTATTAACACAGGGGCTCTTGAAGAAAAGGGTCAGCACATGGGAAGAAAAAATGAACTTCCGGCACTCATGCGTCGAGCAGGAATGGATGCATTTGAATTAAGTTAAAAAAGCCTTTCATTTTAAAACATGGCTGTTTACATAAAAACACCGACAGGTTTCGACCCTAAGGTCTTTGTCAGGGTGCAAAACAGACAGGACAGGACAGGACAGGAGTCAAGCAAACATTTTATAACCTTGGTAGGGGATGTCACCCAATCTTCATTAATAAGTGAGCACAGGTGGGTGACAGAAATGGGTTACAATGAGAAGCCATTTTGAAAGTGACACGCCTCCACAAGTGTTTAAAAAAAATAGGAAAAAAAGAAATCCCTGAACTAAAATGAAAAATTATTACAAACCAAATATCAAAAATATGCATGTCATCATTTTTTTATAACAAATAAAAAAACATACATCAGAAAAAAGGAAGAAAAGATTAGGAAAGGCTTTTTAACTTAATTCAAATGCTTCTGTTCCTGCTCCACGCATGAGTGCCAGAAGGTCATTTTCTCTTCCCAACTGAAATTCCTGTTTGCCAGGCAGGTAGAACTATAATGGCGATTCAAATGGCCCTATCTAGAGCCAGTGTTTGGTTTGTCTGTTCTGGGCTGCTGTAGTAACAACATGGCAAACTCCATGGAACAGGACCCGCTCTCTATGTAGATATAAAAGACTCATTCTAAGCTAACGAAAACACAACAATTCTTAGTTCTTCTCTTCTCTTCGGGTGAATGTTAACTACTGAAAACACATTTATGAACATTATATTCCATTTCTGCCATATATCCCCCTCAATCATACACACTGGACCTTTAACTCAGCACAAAGCCTGATAGACGTTTGGATACATTCAGCAAATTCAGATAAGTCACGTGGATAACAGAAGATTATAAATACTTTAAGTGACAGCAAACTTTTTTCAAAGCCTTGTCAAAGGGCCATAACTATCTAACCAGACAAATCCAGCAATTTTCATATTGGCATTGGCCTGTCTTATGAGGACCATAACTCTGACTGTGAGCCACTTCAACTTTCAAAATACTCACACACAAAATATTTTTAAAAACTACAAATGTTCCTCTTAAAAAGGCTTTTGCGGCCACTTGCTGCTTGTCTTTATTATTACTGACATTCTTTAGAAAATATCCAACAAATGAGGTTCAGAATAATAATTAGAAATAGATGTGTAGTCATAAATCTTCTGAGTGCTGGAGCCTGACAGTATTTGCATAACAGTGTATGTTATGAGTATTGGAATGAGACTGAATGGCTATTGTTTTATAGCAGAGCACAAATGGAGTGTAAATTTGACAAGGCTGCCCAGCGGAACAGTATTTATGATGTGGCTCAGAAACATTACAGGAATTCCTGATTCCTATCAAGGCGTACGCCATTTGATTTCCCAGCTTATCCCTTCAGATTTTGAGGTAATAGTTTATGCAAGAATTAAATATTTTTGGCATTCTGCATTACATAGTTCTTCCAAATGGTAACTATTGCATTTGGACAAGGCCTCTGGAGCTCGGATGTCTTTGGATAAGCCTGAAGCCGAAAAACCTCAGAGTATTGCTTAGAGACACAGGCTCGGTTCAAAACAAACCCTGCAGCTCCCAAACCTACTGTATTTGTGAATGAGGTTTGGCACTGCAGTACATTTTCATAAATATGGCTAGATAGGTAGGCAAATGAAAAACTGTTGGTCCCTGAATGTTTAAAACATGATTTTCTTCACAGCTATGAATCCACATGAATCAAAGTCCACAGATGCCGAGCAGATAAAATCTGGCGCAGTGAGAGTAAATCATCAGTACACAAGCTCAGTCATCATCTTGTCCTGATCTCAACATTGTACGCTTGTTCACCTCTTAACTCCACGAGAGGATGAGCGAAAACATGTGAAAACAGGAAGTGGCCATGAATCTTATGTCAACCTGTGACTTCCTGTCAATCCATCATTTTCAGTGCATTTGTCAGGCAGAATCTGATCCCAGAACAGAATACAAACACAGGATAGCAGGGGGGTTAAAACACAATCAGATGTCATAGAACCACCAAAAACATGACAAAAGGTCACGTGCAGTCTTGCGTCTTTCTCCAAAGCAACTTTTACTGAATGGCATAAAGATGGTGGCGTTTTTTTCCCAGCCTCCATACTGTCACATCCATATGCAGGACATTGTCACTGCATGTTTAGGTTTGACTGGCGACTGTGTTGAAAGACAAGCCATGATGGGAGTTTCATCCCGAGCCAAAGCCTCCTCTTGCCTCCCCAGGAGCAGCTACAAAAAGGCCATGGTTAGAGGGGGCTCTGAGGTTGAATGGCTGTTTGTCTTAGTATCGGCCTAAGGTCTGATGAGAACGAGGTAAAGGGGAAGCCCACTGTGAAACAGCCTATTTTCTTATGAGATGTTTAAGGGGCATATGTGTATGTGGTCTCCATGGTGGGAACGGTGTGAATGAGTGAATGTGACAGTGGGAAGAGAGGAGTGTATAGGCAAAGAGAGGAGGAGGAGGGTTCTGTGGTGTTGGAAAAACCTCAGCTATCCAGCGCTCACCGCAGCCTGTTAACGGAAACCTCATGAGCAGGCTCGCATCTCCTCTTCTTTCTCTCCCTGCTATCCCCCTGCTGTTCTTCCTCCCTCCTCTCTTAGATCTTCTCCCCGTCCTTCCTTCCATGTGTTTTTGGAGGGAACTCAACCAGAGAAGCAGCACAGTGCTCCGAGCTCTGTGGCGGCAGACAAACTCTGCTCCTTTCAGCTCGACAGACAATCATCACAGTTACTGTCTGTCGGCTGGAAAGAGCCAAGCCACCTCTATTTGGTTTGGTCGCGAAGGGAAGGATGGGAAGACATTAAATGGAACACACACACACAATTAAATACATGTTGGAGTGAGAGACCCCAGATACAGTGTCTGAAAGGGCAAAGGGGACAGAAACTGGGTCTTAGTTTCAATTGTTTTAGTATTTGCAGATGATGTATTTATGTTCATTCAGAAATGTCCCCAATCAGCCACAACATTAAAACCACTGACAGGTGAGGTGAATAACACTGATCATCTCGTTACAATGCAATGTTCTGCTTGGAAACCCTGGGTGCTGTCATGCATGTGGATGCCACTTGACCTGCACCACCCACACAAACACTGTTGCAGACCAAGTACGTCCCCTCATGGCAACAGCACACCCCAATGGCAGTGGCCCCCCAGCAGCGCAAGGCGCCATGCCGCCCCGCCAAAACTGGTCAGGAGTGGCCTGAAGAATGTGACAGAGTGCCCAAGGCATCCACTTGGCCTCCAAATTCCCCAGATCCTAATCAAACTGAGCATTTGTGGAACGTGCTGATTCCCACCTTGCAAGCAACAGGACTCAGATGATCCACTGCCAACGACCCGGTGCCAGACACCACAGGACACACCCCAGAGGTCCTGTGTCCATTCCTCGAAAGGTCAGAGCCAAATCTGATCTAAGAAGGCCCCACCAAGGATTGCACCTGACTCTAGGGTAATTGGCACATCCCACAGATGCTTAATTGAATTGGGATCTGGATAATTTAGAGGCCAGATCAATGCCTTGAGCACTTTGTCACAATGTACGGGCCATTCCTAATCAGTTTTTGCAGTGTGGCATGGTGCATTGTGCTGCTGGGGGAGCCACTGTCATCGGGCACTGCTGTTAACATGAGGGGACGTAATTGGTCCACTCACATACTTGGTCCCCTTCACTTTCTTTGGGTCATCTCTGAGCAGTTTCCTGAGATGTGCCATGGCACATTGTCCTGCTGGGATGAGGGGCATGTTGCCATCAGGGGGTGTAGCTGGTCTGCAACAGTGTTGGGTGGGTAGTGAGTGTCAAGTGGCATCCATATGAATGCCAGAACCCAAAGTTTTCCAGCAGAACATTGCATTGCAATGACATGAAATGGTATTCCCTTCATCTGTCAGTGGTTTTAATGTTGTGGCTGATTGGTGTATGAGGTTGTTTAAATCTTGAGCCAATTGCAGCCACACTTGTATGTTACAGAAAGTTGCCTCACCTTTCCCTTTGTCACTTCCTCTCTTCAGGGTCCTCCTAACTACAGCACATATGCAGGTCTGCACAGTAATCAGATTCTCACCGTCAAGGTTTGTCCCTCCAAGCGAAGTGTTCCTTAGTCCTCCCAGCAGTCTCCGCTCTCTGTCAGGCTGCTGATCTGTCACTCTCCCTGCAAACAGAAGAGCAAAACACTCTTCTTGAGCTTTCCCTTCTGGCTTACAGCTTCAGAGGCTGCTGAACTCTCAACTGTTTTTCCCACAGCAGTCATTTCTCTCTTGGTTGGACTCTGATCTGCGCTTTCTTACTGTCATTAACTATGAATTTCTTAACTCATCTCTCCCTTTCTCTTCTCCCTCTCTTTTGTCTTTCAACACACTCCATGTCCTCTCCCCTGTTTTTCCCCTCATTGTGTTGTTTCTGTCGTCCTACTCTTTGTCCCTTTGCCTCTCAGATGGTCTTCCCCAGATATGACCATGGTTTTCTCTCTGGAGAGCAGTCCAGTAGCTTTCAGAGACGCTTTCTGAAGGTAGACCACAACTAAGGCATGTGTGCGTTTTTAACACTTTAACCAACCTTTCTTATTCATGTTCTGATCAGCCGTGTATCTCCCTTCTTTCGTTCTTTTTTCGACTTTCTCAGTCATGTTGCATCTCGTTGATTTCATGTTTGATCATTTTTTCATAATGTCCTTGTGTGTGCTGGCTTGTTTAGTTGTATTAAAGTGACTTGTTATGGGACATTTTATATAAAAGTTCTAAAGCATCCAAAAATGTAGGAAAACATCTTGGAAGATGGATCATGCATATTTCAAAAAGCCTCAAGAAATGTGTGCTTCTCATTACAAGGAGAATAAAAGAGCTTTGTTGGTGACAGTTTAGTTCAAGCCTGAGCTTAATAGAGACATAATAATTATCAGCACAAGGAAATAAGGTTTCAGTTTTCTATCTGAAGCTCTTGCTAATATCACTTTCATGAAAGGGCTTGCTGTGCCATGTTGCTTGCCGCAACAAAGCAGCGCTTAATGCACCACATGTCTGTAGAGATGAGAGGGTGCAGAGGAAGTGTCACCATGTGACTATAGAGACAACACTGGGCCTGCATCCCCCTTCAGTGGTGAGCAAGCATTTTAGGGCGTTAATTGTTTCTCTTTGGCACAAGCATGAGGGTAGAAGTCAACAGAAAGGGACGTGTCCCCAGTTTGATGTAAAACCAGTGATGAAAGCATCTTTAATAGGAGGTGACGGTCCTGTTTTGTTTTTCTGGAGCATAAACAGAAAAGAAACGCCCCATGTTGTCCTCAATTAACATTTCCTTGTGTGTGAGCGTGCATTTGTCAGCATGGTTGTGTTTCACTCTGTGACTAAATATCAGACTGACTCACTGAATGAGGACTGCTGATCTTTGCCAGCTCCAGTCTGTCTGTGTTGTCATATTTGAAGTCTCCATCTGTTATGTGACAACACATTCTCACTACCAACTCTGATGCTTGGTCAGTGGCCCTACACATCAAACTTTGATGTTTTAGGCACCCCTACAACGTCATTATTGGACATTCAGGGATGGTGTGTCAATTTCTGCCCTTTACATGCATTTTTTCTTCACAATAAACATCCTTTTTTACAGGAAATGTACAGTTTCCACTCATTAAATGTCTCTTTTCAAAATAAAGTTAGGATGTAAGTCTAAAACTTCATTTTTATGTTTAATTTCCTAGGTTTAGGCAACAAAAGTAGGTGATTCGGTTTCGGAAAAAATCATGGCTTTGCTTAAAAAGAGTAAGTTTGTAACTATTCTGATGGAACGTCACATGACATACATCACTAGTGCAGTATGCTGCACATATTAGCACACTACGTTGTTATTAAAATAACTCAATTGACTGTCTCCCAGATGGAAGCTCAGTTTGCTTGACCCATCCACCTCCCCTCTCACCCACCCTATGGCGACTCTCTGGCTCTTTATGCTACAACTGTATTTGGAACGTCAAAAAATGCCCCCACCCTGTGGCTCTCACACCGCCGCTAAAGGGTACCTCTTTGTGTGAGTGTAACAGCCACTGGGTGCCAGGACCAAAGACTGTATATAAAGATGGAAAATGCATCTCAACTTATTCCCACTCCCCCGAAAATGAAGCCGAAGTATCCCCGATACAGCAGTTGCCAACTTGTGTTGGTGACGTCATTTAAAGCCAGAGTCTGCGCAGTGGCAATCCCTGCAGTATTGTGTTCCAACTGTACACCCGTCCAACAAATTGCAAGCAGCACCACTGATTGTGAGCATACCAGTGGGCTCACATAGCTGTCCAACATCAATCCAACTGTTATTAAAATAATGTTTTGCTTTTTCATGGTATTAAAAAAATTAAATCTTGTATTCCTTTCCCTCATTCTTCTGTTATTGTTTTTATTTTTCATCAGGGTGACCAAGGCCAGGCTGGACCCGCTGGTCCTCCCGGTCCCCCAGGCCCCCCTGGCCCCCGAGGCCCCCCTGGGAACACAGGCAAGGATGGCCCACGTGGCCCTGCTGGCGAGCCGGTAAGAGCCTCTCCTCATGCATCATCACAAGTGCCAGAACATACACTCACTACACAAAACAATGCACCCATACACACCCACACACTCCACTTAGTTGCTGTTATTCTCGTCCTCCTCCATCATCCTCTCCCTTTTCCTTACCCTCTAACTAAGGTTACACCACAAAGAATGCAGTCATGTAAAACACCTCAGTCATCAGCAGCTGCCGTTACCCCATTTGTTCTGACCTGGTAGGGTTCAGCAGTAGGGTATGACAGCTTGCAAATGTGTGTATTCTATGTGTCAGTGTGCATTTATATACACGTATTAAGGGGAAAAAGGGTCTACGCAGTAAAGAGCAGTGAACCCATATTCTCATTTTTCCGGGTTTGCCAGTGAGCTGTGGCTTACCTAAAAGCTCCCAGAATAGCAACTCTACTCCTGGCCTCATCTGTTTTGTGTAAGACAGCGGCCACAAAGTTCTCCAACACGCCCCCCATTCTCCCACCCTCCCACCACGACAGTGTCGCTGTGCACCCCTGAAACAGATATGGCACTGCGGCGGGTTCATGGGCAGTTTGCCGGTCTCACCAAACAATAGTTGTGCTCCTCGCCTGAGGCAGTTTATGTTTCTCAAAATTTACTTTCTGCTTCCCAGAGTTTAGTTCATAGGCAGTGGCAGCTTAAAGCTGTGGTTGTAGGATGGAAGAGAGAGACAGAGGCTATAAGGTAATTGTTGTTTGACCAAGTGAGGGAATGAATGCTCCTTTACCCTAAACTGGCACGGGACAACAAAAGGATTCAAGTGAAAAGTGTTGGTTTCAGCGTGGGTGAGTTGAGAGCTTACGCAGAACCGACAAAAAGGAAAGCCAGCACAGCTCCAAAAATGACTAAAAGCAGGCGGGTCGAAGTGAGGGGGCCCGTCCTGTAGCCCAGTCAATTTCAAATGTATTCTCCAAGTTGATTAAAGGCATTGCAAAACCCAAAACAGCAAAACAAAGTAGAGTGGCGCTAATAGCCGCTCCATGTTGTGGGCAGATGTCTGAGTGGGCTGAGCAGGAGAAAGTAAGTAAGCAAACCTGCCAGTGTGTGTGTCCTTAAACCCTTGACATTTGTATCTGGAAACAGAGAACTAAGGGGATGACAGCTTAAACAAAGTTGCACCTTGTTTCTGTCTGATGCACAGCTACGTGAAACTGCTGTGGCAGACTTGTCCGTAAATAACATTTGCTTTGTTTCAGCATATCTGAATTCAAGAAATCATTTTAAGTAAATTTAGTATCGTCCCTAATTGGAAATGTATCTGACATCTGAACCGGTCTTCATCCATCCTTTGCTGCGCTCAGGATAAAAGGAGGTGCAAAAAAATTATTTGCAACGGTGATTTGTTTCCCGCTGCTGTGAAGGAAAGATCAAAAGAGGAGGAGGAGGAGGTAAGAGGGGTGAGAGAAGAGGTTAAAAAGCTGCTGGAGCAACTGAGGATGGGAATAAAAGAGAGTAGTGGAGATCAGGGTGACAGTTTGTATGTGACGGCTGAGCGCCGGAGGAAGAAAACCAGCTGGAACACATCTGAGTAGCTTCTGCACATTATTGTAAAATATGAGGACAGAGCAGAAGGTTAATAACCTCCAATTTATATCATGCATTTATTACAGTGCATTGAGTGATCAAGTAAACACAACTACTTGATAGCAGAGGGCTTTTACACAAGTTCCCACTAAGCTGTCTCTGCCATGGATGACTTCATAGCAGATGTTGCTCCAAGCACACGTCCACCTGGGCCTCTCAAACAGCCACAATAGGTCTGTTTACCTAAATAACCCAAATCACTGATAGACATAAGCCATAGAGCGGACATGGAATACTCTCTCGGTATTTGTCTTAGGGAGGGGGTATACACCAAGTCCTCAGCAGGGCTCCACAGTCATCTCCTGCCAATTGCAAAGGAAAAAACCCTTGAAGATAAAAAAAGACTGGCCAGCTCACTCAGTGAGTCAAAAGTACAAGCAGGCAGTCCAAAAATGCATCCAAAGCACTCTGACTGTAGTTAAAAATCCTTCATTAAAGCATGGATAACCAACACGTTTCGACTAGAGAATCTTCATCAGGGTGTAAAATGCATTGGAAACAGGTGTGCAGTTGAAGAGCTCATGTTATAAATAATTAGCATATTTAGTGACAAGAAATGGTTCAATGCCAAATGAATAGAGAGGAAACAACAGTGAAATGAAATAAGAATTGATGAATATTGTGACAAACTGAAAAATATAAGATATGTACGACAAAGACAAAAAACAATATGAGTGAATGGACAACAAACTTATAACATGTGAAAAGTAGTGTATAACTCATGATAACCTTCAACCTCACTAATAGATGTCCAAAAACATGACAACAATACTGAGAGGAAGGTATGATGTAAGATAAACCATAACAAATCACCCTCAATGATACATGTCCAAAAAACATGACAAACAAGCAATAATGTAAGAAGCCAGGAGTGTGTAGTAATGATGGTACTATGTACAACTTAAACAACAAAACGATCATTTGCATATCAGTTACTTACCCTGAGTCATGTTGAATTCATTAAGAAAACTTTGTTTGTCTTGCATGCCTCCAAAATGAACGAAGAATCCAAAAAGTAAGAAAACTGATGATGAGTTGAACTATTTCAAAACTGTCACACAGCTCTTGCAGTATAATCCGAATCTCATTTATCCAGCAGTATGCTCAGTAATTCTAAAACAGTCCTTTCCAAAGGGTAACTAAATAAAAGTGAGACTTATTTGTGCTCTCTTTGATGCCAGACTCTAATACTAAGGTTTTTTTAGTAATAAATACCTGTGTTTGGGAAGTATGTGACTGAATAAATAAAACTTGAAATCATATCGAAATAGATGCCTAATTGGCTGCCATAAAAGCACTGTATTGTGGGATATTTTGATATGGTGTGGCTGTTGTTAAACATGGCCCACTTTTGCTCCAATTCATCCAGAATTTTCTCTGTTTTTGGATTCTTCGTTAACCATTAAGCCATCCAAGAAAAGAAAGTTTTCTTCACAAATACATTGCAACACGGGTGAGTAATTGACATACAAACGATCATTTTGTGGGTGAATTATTCCTTTAAAAATTGTTGTTTCGATGATGGTGGAGGACAGCACCAGTCCAAACTCTCCCATAGGTGTTCACTTGGCTTGAGATCTGATGACTGCCGTGGCTGCAGCATATGAAACTATTCAATGAGCCTTCATGCCCTGTGGATGCATCTGTATTTTGTTTTTGTTTTTTGGGGCTTTTTTTTGTCACCCATCAGTGTGGCTCAGAATAAGTGCTGGCTTAATTTAAATCCATGGACTGGCCATGCTTTGGTAAACACTGACATCTAGTGGATAAAGTTGTTCAGCCCTTTGATGGGGATTTACCTGAAGTTGACACTATATCTGAGTTTCTCATCTGTCCTTTTCAGGGTTTTCCAGGTCGTGATGGTGTAGAGGTGAGTGTGGTTCGGATCTAGTTCAAGCAATCTGGTAGTTCTAAGCAAATTACTATTATAAGTCTGCAGTGATGATTTGTCTTTTTCTGAATAATTATGGTAACCAAATATATTTCCACCTTAGGGGCCACAAGGATTGCCTGGGAAGCCGGTACGATCCCTAAAAGATTACTCACCTTGACTCATTGTTTGTGTCTTAGCTATTCTGCTATTTGCTACAGAAGTGTCAAGTGACCAAAAAGTTTGTACTTGTGACATTTATCAACTGTTCTGAACTAACAGGGAGAAGATGGTGAGCCCGGATATCCAGGACCACAGGGTCCTCCAGGAGCGAAGGTACAGATAAGCGTTAATCACCCATTAGCTAGAGCATTTTAATGTATCTGTCTTTCCATGTGTTGATATTGATACTGAATGTGTTGAAACAGGGCGAGGCAGGTATGGGAGAAAAAGGAGAAAGAGGCATGGATGGACTCCCAGGATTCAAGGTAGATGACCGATATAAAATAGCATTTAATCATTATAACCACAAATAAAATATCCATTGCATTTTTTCTACACCATATGTTAATGTTAAATATTTGTATGTGTTATCAAACAGGGGGACAAAGGGGAATCAGGAGAGCAAGGGCCACAGGGACCCATGGTATGTGTATTAACACCCTAAAATCATTCTGTTATAAACACATGTATTGTGATTATCTTTAGTTCAGTCAGGAACACTTGAGTCAGAGATACTTAATTTACAGTTATATTTGGCAGTATGGCTCTGTTCTGGGGCCTCTCTGCCTTTCTTCGGGCCTACACAGAAAGCTGCTTCCATGTGCATATGTGGAAAGCCATAAGGCAGAGAGAGCACACCTCTCTGCCCTTCTGCATGCCCACATGGAAAGCCTAAAGCGGAGAGAGTACACCTCCCTGCCCTGTCACGTGCAAATGAGGAAAGCCTGAGGCAGAGGGAGTACACCTGTCTGCCCTTCCATGTGCAAATGAGGAAAGCCGGAGGCAGACAGAGCAAACCTCCCTGTCCTTCCATGTGTCTACATAGAAAGCCTAAGGCAGGGAGAACAGCAGCAAAGACCCCCAGCAACAAAACAGAGCAGCATCAATGAAAAACGGACACAGATAAGTCAGACGCAGCATTAAAAGGAGGAGCTGGGGTGGAGGCCAGTTGCAAAGCAGCTTGCAGAGGAAGCAGCAACAGTAGGCAGGCCAGAGCAGTTTAAATAGGGCACCCTGAATAAGATTTGCCAATTGGTTGCATAGAAAGGAATCATGTGATCTATCAGCTGACTCCTTTCCATCAATCAGCTGCTCCATCAGTTGATTGGACTGTTTGAGATCAGCTGATGTAGCTGGGACGTGAGCTGAGCTTGACACCGTGACCTGCCTGAACTAACACTATGCTCAGTTTGTTTATGTATCTCACATTCCTGTGTTTCTGTCTCTGCCTCAGGGTTATCCCGGCGAAAAAGGCGCCACAGGCTCCTCAGACATCATCGACTTCAACGGGAAGCTTCTAGATGCTTTCCAGGTGAGCGACATCAAAGGGTCAATGAGACTAGATTTATAGTTGCATCAAATATTCCGTCAGACATTTATCACTGAATCTCAAGTTAGGCGTCAGAAAACAGACTTAAACAGGCTCAGAAATGGTTGCGTGGTAAGAAACATATCTGAATATTTTCTTTTTTGGAGCCGCAAAACTGAACATGTCACCATTTCTTCTCGACAGGCCATCAACACCATTAGTGTTTCGGTAATCAGCTGTTGTTTCTGCATGGTTTTGGTGGAGTGATCAGTAACCAACACTTATGCATACGCTCACACAAACACCCTGTGTGCATCCACACCTGCTTCAGCCAGCAGATGTCCTGCACCCAGTACTTCAGATGTATTGGATGTCACTCTAGAGGCCACATCTAGACTATCAGTAAATGTCTCTGGTTTACTCCGAGGCTCTCTTGTGTATTCATTTAGGAGAAAACGTACAGCCCCAGCAAATATAGTACAGCTGTGCTCTTCTATCAGATAACATGTAGCCTAAAGAAGCATGCTTAATCATGCAGAAAAATCAACAGCCTTTGTTACATTGTTCTGAGTGTGTTTCCATGCCATGTATCCAACGTGCCTCACAAGATACGTGGCTGTAACTTGCTTCAGGGCAGCATGGTGTTTTTATGTCTATGCATTTGTGTTCCACATAACTGAGTGCACAAGGGGAATGCATTGGGAAGGACTGGGGGAGAACCCCTCATAGTCACCACAGTCTCAGTTTCATATCCCCCTCATACACAAGACCCTTTGATTCTACCATGTACCGTGCTACATGCTAATAACAGATGACTATCTCTGCAGTGGAGTGTGCATTTGATTAAAAACCACTATGCATCAGGTCCCCTCGGACCTGGTCTGAAATGGGCTTCTGCATGCGATGCTGTGGACAGCAGCGTGAGATAGTTACAAAGGAGTCGGTGAAAACATGAACCTGAGATCTTATCAGAAGCCTCTTGCCAACGTGGATCAGTTGGCACCGAATCACACGCAAGGTCTCAGCTAGAGTGAAAGCGGGGAGCGCTCACTGGCCACCCAGCTCGTGTTATGACCTGTTCACTTGTTTGTGTGAAAAGCCTTATTGGTTTCATCTGTGGCGAAGTTTTAGGTGATGATGACTCTGGTTTATAACCATGCTGAAATTGGTTGCTTGTTAGTATCATTCTGCTTTCTGTATAATTATTTGCATGAATAGCCTTCACTTTCAACTGATGGAAGATCTCGGATCAAATGGTTGTTTGTAAACATGTAGCAGTGTCCATGACTTGAATGGAAGACAAACCAAAAGTTACAAGTTAGAAAAAAGAGGAGAATCGGCATGTACACCTCCAGGAGGGAACATGGGTTCTTTTTTTATGACTTCAAGATGGCTGTGGACTTCAGAGGAAGAAATAACAAGTGTAACCTTGTGAATGTAAAGATTAAGAAGCGTGATTTAAGAGGGTGTCACTCATCCACCAGCACAGAAAACAGTATGGGATGGATATGGTATGCTATTCGTCATCCATCGTCAGTGTTACATAAAATCACGTGACTGCTTTGATCCTCTTGTTTTTGTGCGACGGTCTCATCCTGCATCAAAACAATTAACAGAATGGAAAATGATGCCAGGCTATTGTGTACCACAAACCACAGTCAGCACAATCTTTATAAGATAAAATTGCTTCAAGTTGGTTGTGATCAGCGAACACAGTGAACGAAGAAGTCATCAGCTTTGTTTACTGTCAGGCTTGTGTTGTGAAATCCATCATCCGTCTTGTATTGTTTTGTGTTGGCTGGTGTACAAGCCTTATGTTGGAGTTCCCAGTCTCTTCAACATTGTGATGAACAGCCTAAACAGCCATATACAACATGTCAATGTGACGGTCTTAAAATGACAGAGGTGGCTATAATCAGCGTTTTTAACAATGGATCACATTCTTGTATGTGAAAGGTTTCAATCATAGTGACGAATCAACAGAGAATTATCTCTGCAGTTCCCTTAAACTCTCTGAAGCTTTACCGCAAGTTTCAGGTCTTTGTTTGTGCTTTTCATATTTATTGTTGAAGTTCCATGTCACAGCTCTCATCAGCGATGTCTTTGGCCACAACAGCCAGCCATTTTCAGCACAAAAATCTCTAAAAAAAAAAACCCACTCTGCCATCCACCGAGTGCCAAAAGGAAAACAGCCAAAGTTAGCAACTAGCTGGTGAACATCATGTCGCATTAAAGAGCCAGATATTTCCCTCAGGAGTCCATGGGGAGCAAAAGATATATAAATGATTAGACAGCCATTTATTAGGACATAAACAAAACTCCAAATGAATGCTGCTGTTGCTCTATATCTCCTGGATGTGCAAATAAGCAACTGTTTGCTAACACGTTCGCCACATCAACCTTAATGACCAGTGTGTACGATTTAGTGGCATCTAGTGGTGAAGCTGCAGATTGCAACCAACTGAATAATCCTCCATTCACCCCTCTATTTGCAAGCATGTGGAAGAACCTGCAGTGGGTCCCCTTTTAGAGCCAGAGTTTGGTTTGTCTGTTCTGGGCTACTGTAGAAACACAGTGGTGCAATGTGGCAGGCTCAGTGGAAGAGGACCTGCTCCTTAAATAGATATAAGCAGCTTATTCCAAACTAAAGAAATCACAGTTCTTATTTTCAGGTGATTATACATTAATGAAAACAAAATTATGAATCCCCCTAAATCCTACACACTGGTCATTTAAAGGTGGTGATGTTGTGTTTACAGCTTGTTTCCACTGCCCCCAAGTGGCCAAAATATTATTGCAGGTCCAAAATGGAAAAAATGTAATTCAGTGTAAGATGAGCCACATAGAGTTTATATGGGCATTTATATCACTGGGTCATTTTCTGTCTTTCCGCAGGGCCCACCTGGACCACCTGGACCCTCAGGCCCTTCAGGAGAAAAGGTAAGGAGCTCTGATGATGCTTAATTAAAATCAAAGCAGATTTTATGTTAAGACCTGAGTTTGCGGTGTCTAAGCCGGTCTTATTGATTGAGTGTATATTTTTTTCTCTTTGTCGTCTTCAGGGTGAACTTGGTTTACCTGGGCCTGCAGGAGTCGATGGGGAGAAGGTAGGGTCTGATGAGATTGTTGATTGTGCAGCCTTTTTTATATGGTTTTAGTATGGCTGTATGAGAGCTTAGTTATTCTTTCGGACTACTCCTTGCTATGCTTAACGTGACATCTCTTCTTGAATCTTTGCCTCCAGGGACCTAAAGGTGACATGGGTGAGACAGGACCTCCTGGCGAGCGGGGAGAGAAGGGAGAAATGGGGCTGTCTGGGCCTACTGTAAGTAGTGACAATAAACATGTTTCTCTGATACACAAACAGTGGAAAGTGCATAAACAGCTCATCTTGCTCTTTGTGGGTCAGGGTATGGACGGACACAAAGGAGAGAAAGGCGACTGCAGAATGGATGATAACCTGGTTGGTGTCACACATGTGCAATACAACATTCACTCATATACTATGTGTATCATATCAGATCAGTGCAGAGGACTAGAAGCTGTGCATGTCTTAGCCCATTAAACACTTTACTGTAGATTGTTATTTTTATTCTGACTCGTCTAATTTCAATGATCAGGTTCAGATGATTTCCCAGCCAGGCCCACCTGGCCCACCTGGCCCACCAGGAGTCCCTGGGTCCCCTGGATCTATGGTGAGTAGGGGAGAGTAGGGTTGCTTGGGACAGGGGGACAGTGCCTTTTAGAAAAAGCAACTATACCTGTGCTTTTCGCCATGCTCGTACTTAGCCACATCCTCTTCACTTTCAACCTCAAAGTGGAGGCCCTATTACTATTCCTCACAATTTGTTTTAATTTTCAAATCTACAGTGTGTCAGTAAATTTTTGGCTCTTTCGTTATTTTTCTTCTAACATACTGTTTTTAGTTATGCCACATACTCTTTGAACAGACACTAATGTTTCGGTCCTCCTGGAGCTTTGTGGAGAGTGTCCAACACCATTATTTCCCACACTGAGCTTAAATAGAAACAGCTTCACCCATTCCACAGGTGTGAGGGAATTAATCCGCTGTGGGTGTGTTTCTCAATAACTGACAACAGCCTGTGCACCATATGTCACATATCCCACAAACAAAACAAGTGAATTTGTAAACATAGGTTTTTAAATTTAAATTATATTTTTAAAGGCCAGAACAAGATGTCCCAACTGTCCCAGAGAGGCTGAAATTTGGGGAAAGTTACTTCTTGTACATTTTACAAACTTGTGCCTTTCCCTTTTGGGTTGGGCTCTAAAAATTATGATTGTTAGCAGACATTTGTGTCTATCCAGGGTTCAATTTATTTTCATTACTGTTCAAATAGTCTGTGAGTAATAAAAGGTCAATACAAAAATGTCCCAACCGACCCTGCTCTTAAAATCACTACCAGCATCCAAAGTAGAAACTATTCAAGTCAAGTTTGTTGTTTGCACCTGTAGCCGTCACACTCACAGTACACAATGTTTTTCAGGGGCTGCATGGAATGCCTGGTCCTAAGGTAAGACCGAAACCACACATCTAGTACATGGTAGAGGCTATGACATGTTGTGTGGTTCTCATTGTTCCTGTGTTTCTAATGCAGGGTGAGCCTGGATTTGGAATAAAGGGAGAGAAGGGGGACTTGGGTGCTCCTGGACCCAGAGTAAGTGACCGATTATTATCATAATAAAACATGATATACCTGGACATGACACAGTGATGATAATGAACTTCAACTGCAGGGATTAGACGGTGGCCCGGGCTTAACTGGGCCTGCAGGGTTGGTGGGTCTTCCAGGTGCGAAGGGAGAAAAAGTAAGCACCCTATCACCACCATAAATAGTTTACAAACTTTTTTTATTGTCAGTAAACAATACGTAATGATTTATATGTGTGAATATGTGTTTGCAGGGCAGACCAGGGGAGCCTGGACTAGACGTAAGTTTCTAACTAGAAATTTTGATCTTGACATTATTAATTAGATTGTTTTCAGTTTAACTCCGGTGATAAGCTGCCTTCTGACCCGTTTGTGCTTCTTTGTCCAGGGTTTCCCAGGCCTGATGGGAGAGAAAGGTGACCGAGGGGAAAGAGGAGATAAGGTTAGTAAAGAAACCAGAAGGAAATACTTCATTATCTTCAATACAATACAACCAACAATCATTTTTTTCTGCCCTCTTCATGCTCAGGGTGACAGGGGAGGAGTGGGAAAGAGGGGTCTAAAGGGCCAGAAGGGAGAGCAGGGTCCTCCGGGCTTGGACCAGCCTTGTCCTGTGGTATGTCACCTCCACACAGACACACACACTGTAACACTTAACTTACTATCACTTTCCTTTCACTATACTGTATTTCCCTGCTTTCTTCTCTCAGCACTGTTTCTGTCATTTTCTGTGTGTTTCTCTGAGTTTCCTCCTCAATGCTGTGAATGTGTAACTGGCTCTTGCTGACAGGGCTGTGATGAGACTAAAGGTGTGTCTGAGGAGGCAGGGCTTTCTTCCGCTCCACCTCCACCTCTTCCTCCTTCCGGCCCTGAGGCCCCCTGTCCTGTGGTACAGTATCTCTGCTTCCTTCCTCCTCGTCTCACGTCACTATTTATGCATGTTGATTTTCTTTTCAAACACTTTCTGTCATGTCTTATACCTCTTTGAAAATCGCCACGACAGTTGTTTCCTCACCACCTACTCATGAAAGAGAGGCACGTGCTTGTGACAGCACGAGATGTATATCCTCCTCAGCTGAGCTGTAACATTAGCTAGCTCAGTCGTGCTAAGTGAGCCAGCAGTAGATGTTCTTTCTCCTAGCTATTTGTGATCGGTAGGACCCGATAACCAGTGATGGCCTCATGAAGCCTCATGAAGCACTTTCTTTATTTTCTGGGCCCGCAAGATGGTGCTTCTTGTTGAACCAAAGGTTTAAAACACACTGAATTGTCATTCTTTGGGCCTCTCTTTTTACACCAAGAGCGCCATCTAGTGGGCACAGAAAATGAAGAAAATGCTTCATGAGGCATCATGAGGCCATCACTACCGATAAGTATAAAAAATGAAACACTGTCAACAATAATAACGTCCCATTGTCTTCAGATGAGTACTTATTAATTAACAGCATCTTATCTTGTTACTGGTGCTAAAATTGGTCAAATTTGTTGCCATATCAAACTACAAACATTTTTAATCATAAATAAACACGTTACAACCATTAAACGTGATCAGGTTTTGGACCTTGTTCACGTTTGTGTCGAGATCGGCTGCAGACTGACTTTGCAGAAATGGCTGCCATCTTGTTTTTACATGGATTAGCGTATTGTGCTCTTACTACCACTAGATGACCCACAATCACAATCACGACTGTAAGGTGCATTTAAGCACTAGTCCCATGACATTTTCTTCCGTGTTAACATTCCACTGGTGTTCTCTCTCTGCAGGGACAAGACGGGCTGCCCATACCAGGCTGCTGGCACAAGGTGAGTGTTAAGAGGTCTAACTTTTTCTTTAAAAACATATTCTAACTAATAATGAATTAATTAGCATTTCATTATAAGACAGCAGCCGACACAGTCATAGAACAGTTAAAACCTAACACTATGTGCAACTAAAGCCTACGTTATGACCCAAGGATTGTCAGCATTAAATTTATTGCTTGACTCTGATTTGACACAGGGGCATTTTGTAAGTATATGACAGTGTGTGAGCTTGTAAATGTCAAGCATGAGTATTTGCGATCCATATTTTTAATTCGATATGCTACTAATTATCAATCCCTACTATTCTTCTTTTGCAGTGATGACTAACCAGCAGCATGGAGTCTGTACATATTGATATGGTATATATTGCAATTGAATACTACACCAACAACCCGCTCCCTTTTTTCCTTTTTTTTTTTTTATCATAAAACGTTTCATATAATATATTGAGATTTTTTTTAACAAGGACATTCTTGAGTCTACAGTATTATGAAAGCTTTTTGTAGAGATCCAGCGTCGTTGAGAATGCAGCTGTGGTTTTGAAGAGAAGAAACTGAACTGGCAGTTGGACTCTTACTTTGAAGGACAGTCCAGATGACAGTGTTGGAGTGCCTTGACGGTCTCGCGGCCTTACTAACAAAGCCTGACTCGCTGCCTGATTGTAATCACGAATGGATATAACTGTGTGTGCACTTACCCAGTCTCACGGATGCTTGGATGGATGGACAGATCTCTTTGGGAGTGGCAGATGGAGGAACGTGGGTCAGTACTCTCTTCTCCTCTCTCTCTGTTTTTTATAAAAGGAGGAAATGGCAAGACAGAAGCTCAAACGCAAGCGTCTCTCTCAGCCCTAAAGGGGCTCAGGGCCTGGTGGAGAAAGGACACATAGACGGGCAGAGAGCTCAAGGGGCAGACTGGCCTTTATGAGGCAGAGCGAGCCATGTCGTGCCTCAAGTGTCACACCGAACACTCAGATCCTCTGTTATGGAAACTCTCCAGGAGGGGGCGGCAGAGAACCCTGCATTTCCACATTCACCTGAGAAGCGAAGGCACACCTGTGGCTGATGATGTTGCGCAACAGCTTGACAACCGGTCGAAGTTATTTGACGTCACTGGCACATAAGGAAGGATTTACTGCACAGATACATTGAACAAGTTGTGGTGATCTCTTGTACGGCTCTTTTGTAAAGGTTTTCACTCATTAAATGCATGATCATAACAAGGCACAGCGTTGTTTAGCATCCTGACAGCTTGTATGACTTGTGGTCCCTCATTGAAACCTCAAACAACAGTAGATTCAGTTTCATTTGCAATAAGCAGCCTTTAATCATCTTTCCATTTGAGCAAGCCACTCAGAGAAGTCAGTGAGTCTGCCTTTTAATGGCTCACACTTGTGGCAGTGGTGACTTGTGTTCCTTTGTTATATTCTTACATATTTCATGTCCAGTTACATTTTGCATTCCTGTGCATTGCCATGTTTGTATAATATATAGGTAGCGCAACTTCAAGGCCAGATTTGAAGGAACCATTTACAGTATTTGTGATATACCAGTGTTTCAGCTGCCTTGACAAACGATTGCCAATCAGTTTTTTTCCTTAATTTTCTGTGTAACTGTTGCCTTTTGACTGATCATTATCCTTTAATCACTGATGAAGACATGTTTAATTGCTGTTGCCCTGATTGCTCTGGACAACAGTGTAAGTTTTTGCTGCTGACTTAAATGTGTGTTGTTTGTTTGATATTTTTAAATCAATATTAGTCATTTGGACTGAAGGACTAACAGACTAAAGTATGAAATTTGAATCAAATGTATACACAATTTTTGGGGTAATTATTCATTTTTATTCAGCAATGCACGTTAGGACAAAGGTTTCTAACTGTCGGTTATTTAGCATTTTGCGTGTGTACTTTTTTCAGTTATCACAAAAGGTTTTAGTCTTTCCAATCAGATGACTTTTATTTCTGTGTTTTGGTCTTTGTAATACTTTTTTTTTCTCAGATGGAATTTCTTGGTGCTTAAATACTCTTATGTACCCATTTTAAAGCTCTGTTCTGCATATCCATATGCAAGACCTCACACATGTCCACAGTTATACATAGATTGTTGTTTAAAGGAATGTTGAGTCAGAATTACCAAGTAGGTTTTTCACTTACAAGGGATTTGCTTTTGTTTATGGTGCATACATTAAACATACAATAAACATATTAAGAGGAATAAGAATAAGGCAGAGTACTGCAACACTCAAGAACATAAATTAAGAATAGAAAAGTTACAATAAAATATGACAAAGATATATTTTTTTAAAGTATTATAACATAAAAAATATGTATAACCTCCTGAGTCCTGAACTTTTGTTAGCTATTTGTAATCGACAGAGCCCGATAAGTATAAAAAAAGAAATATTGTCAACGATAATTAAGTCCAAATGTCCTCAAACGAGACCATAATAAAATCCCAATGTCTTCAAACGAGTACTTCTTGATTAAAAGCATCTTATTTTGTTACTATTTCTAAAATTGGTCAAATTTGTTGCCATATCAAACTACAAACATTATTAATCATAAATTACGAAGTTGCAATCATTAAATGTGATCAGGTTTTGGACATTGTCCACTTTTGTGTCGGAATCGGCTGCAGACTGACTTTGTAGAGATGGTTGCCACCTTGTTTTTTCATGGATTAGTGTATTGTGCTCTTACTACCACTAGATGGCACCAAAATGTGCCCACGAACAGGGACAATAGGTCTAAGTTACATAGATCAGTATATACATATACATATATCAGTGGTGTAGTGGAAGGTATACGCAGGTATACGGGGTATGCCCACTTCTTTTTTGGGCCATTTACAGTATACCCACCTATCAGCCAAAAAGCCATTGTAATATATAGGAGAGTATACCCACTTCCTCCACGCTAACCTGTCCATCTACTTAGTAGTACACCCACCTCATCAACTACCACCACACCACTGCATAGAATGAAGTATAAGGTCAAGTAAACCCAAAATATGATGTCCTGATATGAGGACACAGGGTCTCGGGAGGATAATACAGCTGATGAACATGGGGAAAAAGAAATTGTAACTGGGTGTACTGATTAACTGGAGGCTGATATTGTCTTTAAGAGGCTATGATATCCATCTATTGGTACTAACCATTGGTACCAACCATGTCAGCATAAGTTGCCATAAAGGGGCCAAATAATAATAACTGGCATGTCGATTTTCAAAGGGGTCTCTTGAACTCTCACCTCAAGATATCTGAATGAAAATGGCTTCTATGGGCACCCACGAGTCTCCCCTAAATTTAAAGGCTTGTTCCCAATAAATGTTTTGTTTCTTACAGTCAATGTACTCTCACAAAAAGGACAACCAGCTTTTTGACGAACAATGACTTCCTTAAAATGCATTGATATATAACACATTAAAACAGGATTGTTGTGGAACTCTAAATGTTAACTACACCAGTATCAGTCTAAGATAATTAGAAATATTAACTGTAACATAAGAAACCAAAGTATATCAGTATGCAATTCCTTAACTCTCCATACAGTTAGCCTTATACTTCAACAGCATAAGCAAGTTCCTGAAATTTAGTTCTGGCTTTTGCTTTTGCCCCGATGAAAAATTTTCTGGGGGCACCACTGCACGAATGGAAAAATGTGTTTCAGTTTCTTAGTGGACATGTGTGTATTCTACATTAATATTTGGTACACTTTTTTAACAATATGAAAAATATTCAGCAATATATATTCTGGTTAATCGCTAGGCATGACTGACGGACAATCATTTACAACATTTTTATTGTCAGCCTGAATATGAGTGTTTTACTGGTTGATTATCTTCAGTCACCATCAACATACAGGCTGCCCAATACTGAACCCAGAAAACCCACAGTACATTAGTAACGCTGACTTTCTGTTTGTAATTAAATTAGCAGGCTCATGTGATGTCACAATAGTCAAGATGAAGGCCACATATCTCTGTAGTGGTCGTCCCTGTTTAGGTCTGAAATGACAGTGTGTAAGATGACTTTTTATCTGAATTTTTCTTTTTGTGCAAAGCTCCTTTTACAGTATGTATGTACAGTATACCTGCAAAGTACAAAGCTGAATTACTGGCATCACACAAAGCCATTTCCATATCAGTGGGATACATATGATGTGAGTTTCTACCTAATGTTTTAACTTTAGAAAGATTTTGCAAGAAAAATCGCACTGCACCACTCATTTATGAAGTTAAAAGTACTAGTATAGAAATCTTTTCTACAAAACACAAATCTGTAGATTAGTTGCATATGATTAAGCTGAAATAGAAAAGCTGAAAACAAAAACATTGACTGAGAAGTTACATTAGAAGCAGAAAGCCTAAACTGTAAACCACATTGTTCTTAGCTTATTTCACTGGAAGCTGATGGTTATCTGTCACTTAACATTGTTATATGTTTTTTATTTCTTTTGCAGATTCTATCAGTTTCAGTTTTAAGGTCTAATGGGGTCAGTATACATGACAAAGTGTCTGAATACAGTTTGGTGATTTAGCAAGTCATATATTACAGTATTAGCTTGACTTTGTGAGAATGTTTTTCTTTTCGGTTGTGTATTTGGTTGTAAAAGAATTAAGCTATTTTTGTAATTACTTCTCTAAAAATGTATAACGTGAAATCCAGTCAACTAAACACGCAGACTGAAGTCAACTCTCCAGTTTCATGTTTTTTGTCTATTAAAGCATAATCATGTAAAATTAATTTGGTTTCATTTATTTTGACATTAATACAACATCAAGATGTTCCACCATGCACGTATTAAAAAATGCAGTGACACAACACACTGCACATAGGCATGGAATTATCAACACATTCTCGCTCAGACCTCATCACATATTGACGTTTTGGTTATAGTGTTGCAAGGTATACCGGTACTAAAATAGTAACGCGGTACTAGAGTATTCCAAACGGTACTATACTGCATTTGGAACATACTGGTACTTTGAAATTGATTCAATTCATTAATTTAGTTAATTTATTTTACTCAATTATGCACACAAACGTCTTCCTTGTACCTATTGGAGCACAGATTGCACAAGTGGTGTGTATGACAACACCTGTATCAACATTCGCAGCTGGCGCACGTGAAAAAAGACAAGAGAAAGTCTGCCTCGCAAAGGGAGACAACACGAGACAACACAAACTTGGTGGAACATTTGAGTTACCAAACCGTGACGTCAGTACCGAGGTACTTACTGAACCATGATTTTTTTGGTACCGTTACACCCCTACTATTTATTGTTCTAAAGGTTTGTATCCAAAAGAACTTTTCCTTAGGAAAAGTACCGAAGAGTATCAAAAAGTATCGAAATTCATATTGGTATTGGTACCGAAACAAAGATTTTGGTATCGTGACAACACTATTTGGTCATGGACTTTCCAAGTATGTGCAAGGTACTCCAGGTGCGTTGGTTGTTGACATTCTGAGACACTAGGTCAAGTTCTCTTCTTTCAAGATATACTTCCATTTTCCCAGGAAATGTAACGTTTACAAACAGTGTCTTTCGAAATAAAGTCAGTCTGTGTTGAACCCATCCCTCCGTCCGCCCCACTGGGACTTTCATCGCTTTAACTTTCGTCCTTGTCCCGCCGTGTTTCCCCCAGACACCGCCGGGCGCCATTAAACTGTAACAGCAACCGGCAGTTAAAGGATGGCTTTTTTCATTGGTTTCTAACGCCAAAAGTCACTGCCCAAGCACCGGATTTTGATGACTTCGGAGTGAGACCGTGCTCAAATTATTTAGAAAAGTCAACACATGGCAATTTATTATCCAAAGAGAGAAAAAAATTGACAAGAGAGATTAAAAACAAAAAAAAAACAAACAGAAGCGGCACAAAAACACACATCCATCCACATGGAGCTGATCCCAGCTGACACTGGGTGAGAGGCAGGGTAGGTCACACCCTGCCTCTCGCCAAACTTATTAACACTTAGGAGACTTTCACATCAGGGACCTGGGCCCAAATTTGAGAACACTTTACCCCAAAGTCTGGTTTGTTTGATTAATTTGCAAACTGTATACTGTAGCCGAGCACAGACAGACACACCAGGGTCCACTTGAGAAGCTGGTCTCGAGTTCAGTTCATGTCTACTCAGGTACATTTGGCATGAAGTGTGAAAACCAACAAAACAAGGAAGTGGATTGCTGTTTATATGGATAGCAGTCGGCCACACAAAAGGGCCCAAGCTTGCCAGCAGGTTGGAACCTGGAACCTGGAACCAACCTTGGTTCCCTCAACAAAAAGCCAAACGGGATTTTTCCACTGAATTTTGGATTATTGCAGAAAATAAAGTGTGGCAAACAAAAGTTTATGATACTTACACATTTTGTTCAGTGAGATAATCTTCAAAATGAACACCAGTTTTATGGTTTCTGAAGAGCAAATGCAATTCGCAGAAACAAAAAGCTAATGTTAGGCTATAAACTAACTTCACGTCGGCACCACAATGGGACTTAAAACCATGTTCGGCATGATGACGCTCTGTAGTCTCATTTAGCCACTGACTATGATGACAGCTTCAGGATTCACGAGTTGGTATTATGTCGTAGAGCAAAGCGTGAAAGCTTGTGTTAACGACAGACCTTATTCAGGCATCTAACCAAAGCCCTTTAAAAACCACCTATTGATTTCAATATGAGGGAACAAGAACTGCAAAAATGCTAGCGCTTTTCCGAGTTTCATTTAACTAAAAACCAAAAAAGTCAGTATCAATAAATAGCCTACTGAAATAACCTACACTGTGTTAAAAAAAAATCCAGGAACAGCTGCCATGAAGTTTATTCTGCTGAATGTGTTGATCAGTCCCTGTTACTTCCTGTTTGTTTTTGACAGAACAATCTGACACCCTGTGGAAAGCTCCAGAAGAGCATGTCTTCACCTTAAGCCTAGTTCACATTACACGATTTTCACCCTGATTTTGCGTCGCAGAGACTATCGTAATCTTCTGAGTGTTCACACTTGGCGATGTGTGTTTCTGTCAGCAGGAGTCTCGCCAACTGTGTTACGACTTGCGTGTGCACACCACAAGATTTCTCCACCGAGCCCTCACCGACAGAATCCCAGATAACGCGGTGACATCACCAAACTACGTTTTTTAATTTGGAGACGACACATCGTAAAGGCATGGATATTCTTCCCAGTGTTGAATCAGATCTGCCTCCAGGGCCTGGGTCCAACCGCCATTGTTGTTGTTGATTGCCGGCTTGTCCTCCTCACATTTCTTGCATCTGGCTGATGCTCTTTGTCAGTCGTGTCAGACTTCTCCAGTCTTGTAACATGCCAGATATCCAGTCCCAGTCGCAGACGAGGGGGCGACGTGCTCGTAGGCTTGTTCATACATGAGGACTCGTTGTGGCACACTATCTGCCGACTCACCTTCGACCCAAGGTGGCTCTCAAGATCCTCTGCGACGTCAAAATCGGGGTGAAATTCGTGTATTGTGAACTCACAGTAAACTGACTCTACACAACACACTACAGCACCAGCAGAAAGTTTCTTCTCATCCAAACGCTGCTGATGCTAGCATCAGTGTTTCTTTGGACCATCTGTCTTAAATATGCCCATAAGACGTACAGATATTGGTGTGTTGCCCATTAGTCCGGTGAAATGTGCTCTTCATTTTACAAATTTGATTAAAAGAAAGAAAGAAAGAAAAAGATATAGAAACGTTCACAAATCATTCTCATGTGGCCACGGTTGTTACAGTTGAATGAGTTCATTGTTTCTAAGACTAAACAACATGTTACAGTTAGCTGCAGTTGATCCATGTGGCAGGAAACACTGGAACAAAGGCATTCAACATTAACATCCACTTTAACTGTTTACAGCTCCTCTGAATTTCATGTTTCTAATTTTAAGTTATAGCTAGTTTTACATAAACAAATGACCTTATGTTTGTGGTTTAATGTTTGTGACTATTAAATTGATGCCACATTTGTTACAGTCACTGACCATCATGGGATTGTTATGCATTGCATGCATCTTTACTGTGTTTATACTGGGAGGTTTCTCCAACCAAAAATAGTTTAAATGTTACCATTAATGTTATTTACACAATAGCGCCACAGTTTTCAGTAAATATGTACATAATGTGTGAAATTTTGCCACATAAAAACTGTACCTTTGTAACATTTGCATTAATAGTTAGCACCACAGGAAACCATGAGGATTATTTAGCATAAGAAATATGATCTATGGGTTAATAACATGATCAGATGTTCAACTCAAATTTATTTATAAAGCACATTTAAAAACAACTCATGCTGATCAAAGTGCTGCACAAAAGGAATAAAATTCTAAAAAACAAAACAAAACGCATAAATAAGAGGCTACTTAACTGTCAGGTACACATCTCACACATTTTGAGACACAGCACACAGGCACGCGTCAGGGAAAACCACATCAGGAGGACTCAAACGAGACTCAAAGTAGGTTTTAAGCCTGGACTTAAACAAGTCAGTGGTGGGGGCAGATCTGATTGGGAGGGGAAGGCTGTTTCATTATTTGTTACTGCTGCAGGCCTATTGTTGTCACTTATTTTGACTTTCATGGCTCTCATGGAGTCATACAATGCCCTGATTCCCCTGCAGTTTTGTTGTTACATTTCTAACTGGTGACCAGTCTATAAACTTGTTAGTACTGCATTTCAACTACGAAACATTGCAAAAGTCCATCATCTGTCACAATAACATGAAAACTGTGACCACTGCATTAATTTCATCAAGGCTGGACTATTGCAGTTCTCTGTACCTGGATGTAAGCCAGTCTTTTTTGTCTCACCTGCAGCTGGTGCAGAGTGCTGAAACGAGACTCCTCACTGGTCACTGGTCACCGCCAGAATAAGAGACAGCATTACACCAGCGCTAGCATCCCTGCACTGGCTACCTATCAAACACAGGATTGATTTTAAGGTTCTTTTATTTGTTTTTAAGGCCATATATGGGCTGGCACCCCTATATATTTCTGAACTTCTCTGCCCCTACTCCAACTCCTGACCTTTTAGATCATCAGAACAATGTCTTTTAACTGGACCACGATCGAGGCTGGTGGGTAAGGGGGAGCCTGCCTTTGCGGTAGCTGCTCCAAAGCTTTGGAATATCTGCTCTCAACCCCCCCAAATCTTATAACATAGATGTTTTCACTGGCCTTTGGTTGTTTGTAGTGGTTTTAATATCTTAGTATTTTCTAATTTTTTATTACATATGTAATTGTTCTTACCAGTGTGATTCTGTTTTATATTTGTGTACATTTTATATTGCTATATTGCGATATATTTGTGTGTCTATTTTTTGTACAGCGCTTTGGTTAACTGTTGTTTTTAATCTGTGCTCTATATGTTAAATATAAATTATTATTGTGATTATAAATAATATATAAACACATTTGGTTTGATTTGATACATGTGCGTTTGTATGAGTAAGAGTGTTTTGTATCACATACACTGTGGTGGTGAGGTATTTCAATACCCTACAGATTTAGAATAATTTTCCCGATGTGTATTTAAATCTGACTTTACTACATGTGTCCAAGTACAAGATCCAGGCATACATCACTAACAAACATATATATTTTCTTGTTGCAATGTTTCTTAAATAAAGTTTTCCTACTGATTGTTGGGGTCATGTTACAATGATAAACCGTGATGAGGTACAAGTCGTGTAAAGTCCATATTTCCCAGAATCCTCTGCGGGCCGCTCACC